TTGGAAGTAGGAGAGGCAGAAGTGAAGGTAGGAGGAAGTGCTGAGGCCCCTGAAGTAGGTGGTTTGATTACGAAGCACTTTGTGGATCATATGGAGCTAATTCTAATATAGGTAATAATTTGTTCCTGAACATTTAATGAGAGTGAAAACTTTGTTTATATATCTTTCAGGTTACAAGACAGTTTCCCATTCATTATCTCCCGTGACCACCACAGCAGGTGGGAGGTGGCCTGGTGGCTGCCCCAGGTCACACAGTGAGAGACAGAGATGGATCTTCCTGAAGGCACTTTCTCTCATTTACTTGCTGAAAACAATTGGGATGACAGACCATGAATAACTTGTTATCTCTGGGCACCGAGATAGTAACTGATAAGCTGGTTGGTAATGAGATTTTTGAACTTGATAACATTTCATTTGAGGGTTACTTACTGCATTCGACTTGAAGAATTCAAGCCACTAATTTCAGTGGCTGTATTTTTCTGCTTGGTTGGAACTTTGAAGACCCACTGGCTGGGCATGGCAGTCCCTGGCACCTCAGATATTAGCTGAGGAAAATTCAATGGCTGGTTCTGAAGGACTTTTCTGAAAGAAGCTCCATCCCTTAGCAGCATATGAACAACCAGGAGGAGGGAGCTGTGGACTTCAGTTATTCTCCCCATTATTCTCCTCCTCGGGCACAGCAGCCCAGGGCCAGGCTATAGCGGCCTATTCATTTTTCTTCATCCTTTTCTGTGTGAGTTTATAAATTTCCAGTCTGTAACCTTAAAGTTAGAGAACTGAACCGACAAGAAATGCTTAGGTCTGATTCACATTGTTCAGCACCACAGTAAACTCTTTTGTTCTAAAATAGTTTATTTTCCAAGTCTTGTCCTTGCAGCAGGATTGTAAGTTACTAGAGGGCAAGCACCTTTCTTCTAGATCATTTGTTTTTCACATCCTTTTAGCCTTTGACCCCATTCAGCCTTTATATCTTGATTTGAGAAGGGCTCAATAAAACCTTAGAAACAGCAGAAAGGAGTGGTTAAGAACTGGACTCTGGAGGCAGATGGTCTGGCTTTTAAAATTCCAGCTTTATCTATCACTTACTAACTGTATAATCTTGGGCAAGCTATAAAACGCTTCTAAGCTGGTTTCTCTTTTCTCAGAGGCAATCTGGGGATAATATTTGAAGCCACACAATCTGATTGTTGTGGAATTAAACTACCTATTTACATTTAAAGCAGTTGGCACAGGGCTTGACACATGATTAACAAATGTTAGGGATCATCATCATCATCATTTTTATTATCTTCATCCTTGGGGATGGTTGATGATAATGATGATGGTTGTTAGGTGCTTCTCTAATTTGCTAATTTTTATTATTTTCAGCCTGGAAAGAAGTTCTTGGTTTTTTTCTTGGCTCTATACTGTTTAGGTAAATTTAGAAGGCATGATTGGCCAGTTTAGGGTAACACAAATGTAGGAAGATCAGGAAATACAGAGCTGATAGAATTTAAGTTTAAAACAATGAGCTGACACTGGTAAGGCTACTTTAACAGACACAGTATCTAGCATTCTATTCAAGTTAAAGGCCAAACAAATATAAGTAAAACTCTCCAACTACAGGATGGAAGAAACCTGACTGGATGGAAGTTAGTATAGAAAGGTCTTGAGGATTATGGTGACCAGAGGATGAGCCTGAGATGCTGGCATGAGGTTTTAGTTAAGAAAGCAAATACCACCTTAGGCAACTGCTATGGGCTGAATATTTGTGTCTTCCTAAAATCCATATATTAAAAATTAACCCCTATTGAGATATATTTGGAGGTGGGGCCTTGGGAGGTGATTAGGTCATGAGGATGCAGCCCTCATAAATGGGATTAGTGCCCTTATAAAAAAGAGACCATGGAGATCTCCTTTGGCTCTTCCACCATGTGAAGACATAATGAGAAGGCACCACCTAAGAACCAGGAGGTGGGCTTTTACCCAACATCACATCTGCTGGTACTTTGATCTTGGACTTCTCAGTCTTCATATCTGTGAGAAATATATTTCTGTTATTTGTAAGCCACCCGGTATTCTGGTATTTTGTTATAGCAGCCCGAATGAACTAAGATAGCTATATTAATCAGAGTGCAGTGTTCAGATCAAGAAAAGGAATAGATCCACTGTGTATGGCTCCAGTGTGAACATCCCTGAAATATTATGTTTAGGTTCAGGCACCGTTGCAATCATCTTTTTATTGTTCCACTAAAGGTTTGAGCTGCTTTCTTTGCTACGGATAAAATGAATCAGCAGGAGGGCAGACTTAGTATGTCATCCAACACCACTAATTATTTTGTAGTTGATGACTCTGACCATGAATTTCAATACAGGGGGAACATTTCTTTATTCCTTTCTCAAGAGAGATTCTTACTCACTCTGGGCTTGACCTGAAGAGTCAGTTATCTCATTTTATTTTCTGTTTAAGAGAGTCAGGCCAAGTTTCATTTTGGCCATTAAATTCTCATCAAATGTTATCCTTCTTTTGCCTCTCCCTCCAGTCCTGTCAGTACCGTACCCCTCTTCTGTGCTTCCTTTCATTATGTATTTCCACGGTGTCTGCTGCTGTCGCCCCACATTTGCTGCCTTTCTGGATGTACTTTCTCTCTTTTCCTTAATGTAGCTAGGTAGAAAACTTAATTTTACTTGGGATTGTCACAGCTTAATAGGAACTTGTATAATAGTGAACCTTTCAGATTATACGTTTATTTACAATATTAGTGACATTCAGTGCTCTAGCCAAAAAGAGACTGATTGCAATAACTTTAGAACTTGTAGCAAGTTGGTGCAGGGGTGCTGTGTTTCATAGGGACCTCATCATCATGGCGAGCAGTTATTGGTAATTGTAGTAAGTGAGACAGGCCAGTGTTTCAGCACATGTGAGGTTCCTTTTTGGGTAGGGGTGAGGACTTGGTAAGGGGGATTAGAAGTTCATTAAATGCAGTGGAGACCAGGACAGAAAATTTGGGTCATTGAGGTTATTTGACTCTACTTTTATTCTTAGACCAGAAAGGTTTGCTGACATTAGATTTGATCTCATTAAGCTGAGGGTCTTCTGGGGGCAATGACTGGACCTTATTATCCAGTGCATTGATGGTGACTATTTTAGGCCATGCCAGACCGAAGGAGAAAGAGTATTGGGTAAGTAGAACTTTTAGAGAACAATTAAGACAGGCAATTTAAACTGCTACTTTAAAAAGTTATTATTCTGTGCAAACTTTTACACCTTAACTATATATGGGGATCTCAATTTATACCTATATGAGTCTCATTCTCTTCTATAGTGAGGGGAACTGTGATGCCCATTTTGCTCTCATTTTTACTGCAAAGCTTATACATTTGTCTTGAAGATCTTGCACAATTTTTTGGCTAGAAATTATGTCAGTTATATTATGGGAAGTGATTAACATAAAAGATAATAACTTATATGGAAGAAAGTTTAACAGTGATGCTGATCTGGTTGTAATTACTTTAGTCACCACAGAGCAAAATGTAGCATGACGATGTCTTGAAGTATAAACCGGTATATTTTCACAGTTGCCTGTCTTCCTTATGCTTTAGGGAAGGGAGGCCACAGAAAGAATGATGAGCAGACAAATACAGAGTAATTCATACAGTTTTGGAACCCATGGCGAAGCAATGGTGAGAGAAAAGGTACGAGAGGCTCAACGTTTGCCCTGCCCTTGAGGAGAGAAGAGGAGAGCTGTGAGAAAATCAGTGGACCCTTGGAGTCTTCAAGGCTGGGAAAAGGGAAGGAGATTGGAATGCAACATGGGCGGTGTGACCAGGGACCTGGTGGAAATACAGATGTCAGCCTCAGTGCATGCAACATGGAAGGAAATGGCATCCTGTGACTAAAGGGTTGACTTACCTCTCAGAGACAGCTTGTGTGGACGGATGGCATTCATAGACCAGACCTTGAAAGCCTTGACATTGTAGTCTCCCTTGCTCCTGCCACCCTTGCATCAGGTACAACCCTTAAAGAAGAGGGAAATCCTAAAATGATTGAGTTGACTCAGAAGAGATTATGATTAAAATTCGTATCGTTGATGGAATAAGAATTCAAGATAGACATTACATTCAGTTTCGGAAAAAATAACTTTGTACTTTTGCATACTGGATTTTGTTCTCCCTGCTATTAACGCTTTAGGAAAAAGGAGAAAGAATATTGGGTAAGTGAATAATTGACTTTCAGTCGATTTGTTGGGCTGTTTTCAGATTGGGGAAAAAACCACTTATGTGTAAGTCAGAGGATTTAAATTTTACTCTTGTCTTTGTAACTGTTGACCTTGAGCACATAACTTTCTCCTCTGGGCTTATTTGTCTCCCTCTGTGGAATTGGCCTCGATCAGAACTTCTTAAGCTAGTGACTTCCTTGGATAGGTTGAGGAGTTTTTCTAAGGCTTCTTGAATGTATGTATGAACCAATCATTGTCTGCAGACAGAATAACATGGCTTTTCACATAAGTACTACCAATTTTTTCTTGTAGATCTTATTGTGTTTAATAAAATGTGATTAATTTATTTAAAAGCACCACTATATTTGTATTTTATTTTTGTAATTATCGTCTCAATGGAACAATATGAAATTTGTAAGTATTATTTAGAAATTATAGGGGAGTCCTTTTAGCCTGGACTTTAATTTAAAATGTGGCTTTTGTGAGACCAGAGGACCCCTAAAGAGCCATTCCATTGGCTATAATTCTAAAATAGGGTTTATGTTAATTAGCAATAAATATTACATAGTAATTCTAGAACTATTGACTCTCACATTCTGATAGTGGTGCTAATTGATTTATCTCAGAGATGTAAAATTTAATAATAACGGAGATTTTTTTTTTTTCATTCTTTGTTGTTTTTATTTTATGAAAAAGGTAATTTTTAATCTTCACTGAACTTAGCTGAATACAAAGTCTTAGTGAAGAGGCCTTGTGGCCTCATTTACAAAAACATGGCTGCTCTCCTCTGGCCTTAAAATTTCAAGAAGGCTTTGTGTTTGCATGTTTCAGCGCCAGTGCACAGGAATGGACCCTCGCATCGACTGTCAGATGTTCTTCAGCTACCAGTGCTTCAAGTCTGTTCATCAGGTCATTCTTTGGCAAGGAAATTACTTCCACAAATTCTTCATCTCCTGGCTTTGCCTTAGGTCTTACATTTTCGGCCTCATTTCCATTAGTAGTTACTGTCACGATGTGTGTGGTACAGTTTGACAAACCTGGATCCATACATATAAGTGGAGAGCATTCAGCAATATCACCTTTATAGCCAGTTTCTTTCTCCAGCTCTCCCAGAGCAGCTGCTTCTGGGCTTTGATTGTCATCTATGCCACCTGCAGGGAATTCCAGGCAGTAGCTTCCCATGGGTGGACGAAACTGTTTCACCAGAATGATACATTCATGATGAAGAGTTCTTTGCAGCACTAGTATAATCATCACACCATCAGTCGACTGTCCTTTCCTGGTTGCACGTTTCACAGTTTCCCAGGTTCGTGTTTTACCAGTAGGATCCACGTAGTTATTTTTTCAAACTTGACCCATTTTCCTTCTTCAATTAACTCCTCTGAAATAATAAACTGGTTTTTTGAGGAGAATCCACTGGTTGCTAGTTTTCCATTTTCAAACTAGTTAGTGTTTCCAGTTCTTAGGCAAGAAGTTAAAACTGAGGATGTGGTCTCCAGAGGTGCCGGTGCTACTGCCCGGAGATGTTTTAATTATTGCATCTGTATAATCTCTCTTCTCTGATTACAGAAAGACACCCTCTATCTCTAGGACAGTGTCATGGTAAGAGGTTAGGTTTAAATCTTGCTCTTTCTGCCTACTTACTAACCATCTAACCCCAGCTGAGTTACCTAACCTTTCTGAGCTTATTTACTCCTCTTTAAAATGAAGATAAAAGTTTTAATCTCACAAGGATATTGTGAAGATAAAGTGAGATAAACTGTGAGCCCATTATATTATCTAGCAAAAAGAAAGTACTAAAAAATTGTTAGTTTCTTTCATATGCTTTAGAAATCTTGTTCAATGCAATGGTGTAAAAAGGTAAAGTAAATTAAGACTGGCTTAAATATAAAAAGCTGCAAGTTCCATACTGAATTAACAGCAGTTAAAATCACGTTTCTTTGCCACCTTGTCCAGGGCTGGGTTGGAACCATCCCCTTCACTGTAACTAATAAGCAATGCAGTTTGACCACCTAGAAGGCACTTTTGGCACTGGGACCCGTCTCTCTCCAAAGCTTGGAAGAGATTTCACCTTTTTCACCCCAAATCTTCCTTTCTCTCTGAGCAAGCACGGAGTGTATTTTGCAGCGACCCCATTCAGTTGCTGCCAAGAATGAGAACCCTGGAGGTGCCCTCTATTGTGAGGTTTTGAAGTAGAACTTGAATGGAGAGGATGTGCTTTCAAAATAATTTATTTTGAATGCATTCTCACTTTGGTGGGGAGAGGAGGCACAGATGGCTGAATCAGGACATGTGCCAGTTCTTTCCTCACGCCGGGCATCCAGTGAATCCAGGCTGTAAAAGAATGAGCTCTAGGAAAGAGTGAAGGCTAAAAGAACACACAAAGTACCCACATTATATGGTCCCTGGGACTCCATTAAAAGCAACTGTTTTGAGTAATCAAAAAGCTTCCTTCAGAGAAAATATTGATTTCTTGAGTATTTGTTGCAGTGCAGACCCTGGATTGTAGAAATTGGTCTATATTTTTTCCTTCAGGAGCTGTTCCATTACAGAGAGTAGTTTGGATGAGAACAACCAGTGTCTGGGAGGTCTGATCATTTCCCCAGAAGGAAGCTTGTCAGGATGTAGGTTTTTGGCTTTTACCTGTTATTCTCCCTCAGCTCTGCCAAGTGGGTGAGGTCGATGGCTGGATGCCAGTCCCTGAAGCTCTCTTGAAGGTTGTTTCAGATTTCCTGATCCTCTGATTTGAGGATCCCAAAGCTGCGGCTTCTTTGCTTCCAACTGCTTCACTTACTCATTCCTTTTATTTATTTATTTATTTTAGAGAGAGAAGGGGGAGAGAGAGAGAGAGAGAGAGAGAGAGAGAGAAACTTCCACGTGAGAGAGGAACATCGATTGGTTTTCTCCCATACAGATCACCTGTGACCTTTGGTGTACTGGATGTTGGCTCCAACCAGCTGAGCCACCTGCCAGGCCTTTTTAGTCATTCCTAAACATTGCTGAACTCCCAACTTAATTAACTAGATTCATTCAGGTTTCATAGAACTGAGAAGCTCAAGTTACCTAAGGTGATCGGGGTTATTGTGAGGATACATGAGCAAGGGGGAAGACAAAGTCAGCTCAGTAGTCAAATAGTTGGCCCCAAGGAACCGAGCAGATATTTCTGATTCAACAGTGTCTCTAGGTATCAGTGTTAGTTTGCTAGGACTACCTTAACAAAGGCACTGTGAAGTGGGTGGATTAAACATCAGACATTTATTGTCTCACAGTCTTGCATGCTGGAAATTAGAGATTAAAGTATTGGCGAAGTTGCTTCCTGTGAGGACCATGAGAGAGAATCTGTTCCATGCCACTTGCCTGGCTTCTGGTGTTTTGCCTGCCATCTTTGGCATTCCTTAGCTTGTAGAAATATCACCCTGATCTCTTCCTTTATCTTCACATAGTGTTCTCCTTGTACATGTCTGTCTTCAAATTTCCCCTTTTTATTAGGAGACCAGTCACATCTAATTAATGACCTCCTTTTAATGTGATTACCTCTGTAAAGATTGTGTCTCCAAATAAGGTCACACTCCAAAATTAGGACTTCAACGTATGAATACTTTGGTGACAAAATTCAACACATAACAGTGTCCAACAGTCACTCTTATTCTTGTTCCCTCAGACTCATTTGTATTTCTGAAGCAGCTTTCCTTCATCAATTTCTATAGAAATTTTTATGTTGTCTGCTACTAAGTGTCTTCTTTGTCTACTCTATTCTCTGACTTGTGGTTTCTGCTGTCTTGTGACCTCTCCTTACTGACTTTTCTCTGTATGTTTTGGCTGACACATTCTTGGTGTCTGAATCTTCGGGAAGTACTGAAACTCCCTGCAAATTCCACTTGTTTAGATGCTCACTATGGAGTACAGAGCACCTCTCCTGGCGAGGTTCTCCTGTCCGTCTACCTCATAGACTTCTGCTGGCCTTTGGTGGGTGGTGTGGCTCGGAACTGACCCCTGGGCCAATTAGCCTTGGCCATGACAGAGAGTCCAATGGAGCACAGCATGGCAACCTGTGCAGAAATCATTTCCCATGGCTGCTTTTTCCAGAAGGAGGCTGTGGACCTGTGGATGTGCTTGGCTTTTAGAGTGAGCGGCTATGTGACCAGCACTGTGCTAAACCCTGGGATTTCAGAGAAAAAGCCACAGTTCCTTTTAGGTACCTTTTCTTGCTTAGCTGTGGTAGGCGCTAGGCTCTTCTAAAGGAAAACTCCCTGGCCTGGGCAGATCTGATTTCGTGATGCTCCTGATATTGAGAAGGTCCTCACAGAGAGCCACTGCTCTTTTCTGAGGCTACTGGTATACTAAAAAGAAAAGTAAAAGATAAATAATTACTAGTGAGTGTTAGAGATATTGCAATATAAATATTTATATATAATTGATTTGAACGTTTTTGGCTATCCATAAGATAAATACAGTGTAGTAGTCCCCTTATCTGTGGTTTCAGTTACCCACAGTCAATGGTGGTCCGAAATTAAGTGGAAAATTACAGAAATAAACAATTTATAAGTTTTATTTATTTTATTTATTTTTTATCATCCTCACCCGAGGACATTTTTCCATTTTTTGTTCAGGTAGAGTGGCAGGGAGAGAGAGAAACAGAGAGAGAGAGAAACATTGATGTGAAAGGGACACATCGAGTGGTCGCCACCTGCACAACCAACCTGGGCCGGGGACAAACTGCAACCGAGGTACATGCCCTTAGCGGGAACTCAGGACCGCAGGCTGATGCTCTAACCACTGAGCAAAACCGGCCAGGGCAAGTTTTAAATTGAGTACCATTCTAAGTAGCATAATGAAATCTTGTGCCATCTCACTTTATCCTGCCCAGGACATGAATCATGCCTTTGTCCAGATATTCACACTGAGCACACTGTCAGCCCCATTAGTCACTTAGCAGATGTCTAGGTTATCAGACTGACTTCGATGGTATCCCAGTGTTTGTGTTCAAGTATCCTTTATTTTACTTAATAATGGCTCCAAAGTGCAAGAGTAGTGATGCTGGCAATTTGAATATGCCAAAGAAAAGTGGTAATATGTTCCCTTTAAATGAAAATGTATATATATATATAGGAAAAAACATACTATACTATACTATATAAAGTTCATTATTATTTGTGGTTTCAAGAATCTACTGGGGGTGCTGAAATGTATCTCCTGCAGAAAATGGGGAACTGCTGTGTTCATAGAAACATTACTCAGAGCTAGTCTAGTAAAGAGACACAAACATAAAGTTTCTGATACCTGTCTTCTTTATTCTATACTGTCAGAGTACTTCATAGTCATGTCTAAACTCATTTGAGAATACCAACAAAGGTCTAATATTCAAAAGCTTTGTGGCCCTGGTGGCATTGGCCCACGGACCAAAGGGTCACGGGTTTGATTCCCTGTCAAGGGTACGTACCTGGGTTGCAGGTTTGTCCCAGGCCCTGGTTGGGGTCGTAGAGGAGGCAACCAATTAATGTGTCTCTCTCTCATTGATGTTTCTATCTCTCTCTCTCTCTTCCCCTCTTTCCTTTCTATTCTATCTAAAAATCAATGCAGAAATATCCTTGGGTGAGGATTAACAACAACAACAACAAGCTTTGTGAATGTGACTCCAAACTGAATGGTACTCCTTGTTTTTTTAGTTTTTGAGTTTTATTTTTATTTTTTATTAATTTATTTTTGTTACAGCTGTTTCTCCCTCCACCCCCAGACACCCTCCTCCCAATCCCTCTGCCCCCACAGCATTATTGTCTATGTGCATTGGTTATGCATATATACATATAAGTTATTTGGTTTCTCTTCACTCCCCCCACCCCTTCTGAGGTTTGTCATTTTTATGTCTATTTTGTTCATCAACTAATTTTGTTCATTGCATTTCACAAATAAGTGAGATCATGTGGTATTTGTCTTTCTCTGATTGGCTTATTTCACGTAGCATAATACTCGCCAGGTCCCTCCATGTCATCTCCAAGGATAAGAGATCTCTCTTCTTTACAGCTGCGTAGTATTTGCGTAGTATTTCATTGGGTATATGTACCTCTGCTTTTTTATCCATTCATCTACTGATGGACACGTGGGCTGTTTCCAGATATTAGCAATTGTAAATAGCACTACTATGAACATTGGGTACATATATTCTTTCTGATTGGTGTTTCAGGCTTCTTAGGATATACTCCTAAAACTGGTTTAAATGGGAGATCAATTTTTAATATTTTGAGGAAACACCATATTGTTTTCCATAGTGGCTGCACCAGTCTGCATTCCCACTAACAGTGTACTAGAGTTCCCTTTTTAAGTTGGTGGTCTAGTTTCATTTTTTTTTGCATGTAGCCGTCTAATTTTCTTAGCACCATTTATTAAAGAGGCTGTCTTTACTCCACTGTATGCTCTTGCCACCTTTGCCAAATATTAATTGAGCATATTGTCTTGGGTCCATTTCTGGGTTCTCTGTTTTGTTCCACTGGTCTATATGCCTGTTCCTGTGCCAGTACCAGGCTGTTTTGATTACAAAGGTTTTATAGTATAACCTGATATCTGGTATTGTGATCCCTCCTACTTTGTTCTTCTTCAAGATTGCTGTGGCTATTTGGGTTCTATTTTGGTCCCATATAAACTTTTGGAATATTTGTTCTAGTTTGGTGAAATATGTCATTGGTATTTTAGTGGACATTGCATTGAATCTATAGATTACTTTGGGTAGTATGGACATTTTAGTGATGTTAATTCTTCCAATCCATGAACAAGGTATATGGTTCCACTTTTTTATATCTTCCTTCATTTCTTTTTTCAATATCCTGTAGTTTTCTGAGAATAGATCCTTTACTTCTTTGGTTAAGTTTATCCCTAGGTATCTTAATTTTTTTTGCCTCAATGGTAAATGGGATTTTTTTAGTTTCTCTCTCTCTGAATTCATTATTGGTGTATAAGAATGCCATTGATTTCTTGAAGATAAAAATCATATGGTCATATCAATAGACACTTAAAAAGCATTAGACAAAATCTAGCACCGATCTCTCATAAAAGTGCTGAGCAATGTGGGAATAGAGGGATCATATCTCGACATAATACAGGCTATATATGAAAAACCTATAGCCAACATAATACTCAATGGGAAAAAACTAAAAGCATTTCCCTTAAGAATAGAAACAAGACAGGGAAGCCCACTTTCGCCACTCTTATTACACTCTTATCACATATACTGGAAGTCTTAGCCACAGCAATCAGACATGAAGAAAAAATAAAAGGGATCCAAATTGGAAAGGAGGAAGTGAAACTGTCATTATTTGCAGATGACATGATATTGTACATAGAAAACCCTAAAGACTTCATCAAAAATCTACTAGATTTAATAATAAATTTGGCAAAGAATTAGGTACTCTTACCTCTTCCAAATTTACTCGTTTCTTCATTGAAAGTCTTGGAGGCCAGAGATACAGGCCCAGAGAGAATTTTACTAAATTTACTTGGTTCTGTACCCATTTTAATTTCAACCACTCAATTACATTACATAAGTTAACTAGCCCACATCCCAACTAAGGATTCCCTTTGATTTAATAGGAATCATTAAGCAACAACTTGGGCCTAATACCATATTAGGCTCCCTGGAGAGTACAAAACTGATCAAGACAGGGTGAGCTTCTGAGAAGCTCTTAGTTGGTACAACTCCTAGGTCATAATCACCTCGTATTGGTCTGTGAGCCGTTTCTTTTTCACTCTGGAGTGCAGGCGTCTGGGTGGTCCTGCCCACATCCCTTACACACTGCTGGCACCCCTCCACCTGTATTGATTCTGAAATTCCTCACCAACTTTCTGGTTTTATGGTTTTCATTTTCCTTTGGATAATGATGGCCATTTAGCCTTCCTGTTGCTCCACCAGCATTGCCTAAGGTTTATATGGCCCCAACTAAGAGTAAAGGGTGTTAACAAATGTTTACTTCTGTTATTTGCTTTTCTGTGATTTATGAGGAATTCACAGAGAATGGATTTCTTGAGATCAGGTGATCCTTGGTAACAGGGGTAGGGTTTTGTTGACCGGTTACTATAAGGTGTAAACCAAACAAAACACATAGAAAGGCCTTGACTTGAGACAAATTATATTTATCTGGTTTTGACTGATCACGTAAAACCAGTGAATTTAGCTCTTATTTTTAGAACACTGGAAATCACCTGGAAACAAGAATTCATCCTGTTTCAAAAAAGGCAGTTTTTTGTTTAGGTGTTTTTGAAACAGTCATCTTTCTATATGACTGAAAATTAGATGTTGGAAGGGCCCTCCCTTTATCTTTCCTTTGCCATCTTTGTGCTATTTGAGAGCTTGGAATCTATTCTATTTTTATTTGAAGTGACTTCTCCCTACAAATTTTAGAAATTTAAGACTCTTAGGCTATTAAAGCCAAAGGGAGCTTAAAAATATTTTTTTTAGTTCCCAGTTTCTTCCTTATCAGAAATAATTATTGTTACCCAGAACTCTATGGTTTGAAATCTTTAAATCTATCAAAAATTTATTAGAAGAATTAAGCAAAGGTATACAATTGCCAGTCTAACTTGTTACCAAGCTGAGGAGTAGTTAAACACAAGGAAACTTTGTTCCAACTGTCTTGTAAGGGTTGGTGACAAATGAATTACAAAGTTTTATTAATTACTTCAAAATGTAGAACATATCAAAGACCCCTAAACCTTCAGAATTCCCAGTTTTATGAAACCCTGATATAGTTTGTTTAACCATTTTATAAATAATGAATTTGAGATCTCAAAATTTTAAATAACATTATTAAAGGTCATACAGCTACTTTCTTTGAAAGTCAATAGGAGCAATGTCACTAATATGCAATGATTATGGCTCTGGTAATGTTTCATTGGAGTTGAGTCAGGGTTTGTATGACTTACATTGAACTATTTATATTTTTAAAATGTGACTCTCCCTCATGACTCTCATCTCTTATCTCCATCTCTTACACTTCATAATTGTGTTATCGTATGTATTTATATTTTACCTTGATATTGACTTCTTCCCAGCAAC